ATTTTGCAAGAATTATTCAATTTCATAGTGAAATCTACAGAAATGATTCCATTATTTAAAGGGGATGAATTTAATAAATGAATACTGTACTTTTCGCTAGGTTTCGAATCGGACAAATAACATCTTAATTTAGTCTAGTCTAGCCTCTTTACAATCAGATTGAAGGAAACGAACAAAAATTATTAATTAATGAGTTGCTGTCATTTCCATTTTTCCAAGGTGTCAATTATAAAGCAACGCTACAATGGAAACATAGAAGACATCAACAAGACTCTCGGAGAATACATTCTCTGATATAGACAGGGGTCACACAAAACACGTAAAACGCAATAGAGATATAAACACCTACTAGGCTACAACACAAACATAAGGGGCCAACATCTGAAAATAGCGTACAAGTATGCTAAAACCACAAGCAATACAAGTTGTTTTAGCCTTAAAGTACCTTGAATAAATTACGAAAAGGTAAAGCGCTCACAAAGTAAAATCAGTAAAAAGATCGGGATTGCATTCGTCGCAAAGAGCAGACAAATACTTTGGCCACCTTAGAATTAACCCTTGTTATAAACACATGCCAAAAGAATCCACATTACGAGATTAATGCATTTACTCTTTTCCACTCATAAACTACCTGTTGTGGTTATTTGTAAACTTTGATGAAGATTACCTTGCACGTTCCAAACTTGCCCTACTCAAATCATGGCCATTAATTTCCAAGACTCGATCCCCGACCGATAGCCTTCCGTCCTGTTTAGCTGAACCATCAGGCGATATTTCAGCAATTCTTATATTCCCCAAAGCACTTCTTGTACGATTTGAGCTTCCGGTGGCTTTATTTTCTAGTGAAACTCCAAAATTGCCCGACGAGCAACCTTCGAATTCAAACGTTCTGATCTCGTCTTCATTAACGACATCCTTCCGTAGAGAAGTTCTACTTTGGGTTCCCGAAGCCTTGTTTGTTCGTGGAGAATTAAAAACAGTTAAAGAAGAAGCCTTAATTTCAGTCATAGTGTTTATATCTCAAGTGGAACCAGCGTTGTTCATATTGTTCTTTGGTTAGAGACATTCCATCCATACTTTCCTTAACCAGACTAAACTTTACTAACCACCTTTAGACCTCATTTGGCGCGTAATCCACTCGATTCTCTTCAGCTCCATAATTCTAAGTCCTTCAGTGTGGCACTAGAAATGTTTTATCGAGAAACACTCACTTTGAAAGGTCGTTAACTTCATAAATAGACGGAAGAAACGTATCCATAACTCTCTTTGTTCTGCATGATGCAAATGATGCAGTTTTTGAACCTTCAAGCAGAAGGTGTCGATGACGTCATGATCTATGAACTCTGTCTCACTCCCACTCCACCCTCGTGTCACTTTGCACGGCATTGTTTATTGTTTGCTTTGGCTGTTTCTAGGAAAGCAGCCTTGGTTACATTTATAACAGGCATACAAGGAGCAACTCGGCACCGCTGTGATTCAGTATGAACTGCCTCTCTTTGCGCTAAAAAGTGCACTGAGAAGTCGGTGTTCACATTGCAACAGGCCAAGACGAACCCATATGTGTCCAAGCAAGAATTAATTATTATTTTAATACTTTAAGTTCTGGGATTTTTCAAAATCAAACAATCAAAATCACTTTCATGTTGTATTTTTTTGAAAAAAAAAAACCTTCTTGCGTATTTCCAAAAAAAAAAAACTTGGTTATAATGCAAAAAAGGCTACAGAAAAAGTGACACAACACGGACTGAAGGACTCGAAATCGTGCGAATCCTGAACCCCGCGCGAGTCCCATGATGCGATGGTAAAAGCTTTTTTCAGCTAAGTTTATATTTTTCTAAAAATAAACTCAAAGTCCGTGCTAGATAAAAACAACAACAACAGAAAAAACAGAACAGAACAGAACAGCCTGAAAGTTAAACATTATGCAGAGGATCATTTTCCAAGGAATCTATCTCAAACTGTGAGATAGATCTATCTCACTTGGTAGCTAGAATTTCAAACGATTCTTCGAGTCGTTTTCTTCTCCTTACTCCCAGCTTACTGAGGGAGCAGGAGCCGATTACTGGAGGGAGTAAAAACGACACGAAGTAATCGTCTGAAATTCAGGCTATCTCACTTGGTGGACCCACTACTTTCTTGGAGCGCGATAAGTAAGAATGTGTGAGAGTTGCTAAACTGATTCGGTTCGGCCTTACCGTATTTATTCGAATAAGCGCCCAACCTCGAATTAGCGCCCACCTCGAATAACCGCCCATCCTAAAGGCAGAAAAAGTTAATAAGCGCCCAGCCCCTCCTCCTCCTAATCAAACTCAAATAGGCGCTCACCCCCACCCCACCCACTTGAGTGAATAAACTTTAATAAGAGACTTTCCCGAGGACGGAGTTTTCTTCAGAGTATTTTACAGAAACCTTGCTTTGTTACTTCCTGCGCAAAACAATAATCGTAAATAACAAAACAACGTTTTATTTGTATGAAATGAACGACTTTTACCACTTTTAAATTATTCGCGCCAGCCTCGAATAAGCGCCCACCTCGAATAAGCGCCCACTCTCAAGGTCCAAAAGTTTAATAAGCGCCCAGGGCGGTTAATCGAATAAATACGGTATCTAAGGTTAAAGTTCTACTGAAACGAAACCTCAAAGTGGCTATTTCGCACCAAAAAAGGTTTTATCAATCTTAGAATAGTGCTTTTTTCCATCATGAAGTTGTTGAATCGTTATGGGGGCTTTCTCTACCATTAGTCCATTCACGTTCTTTGGTTTATCCCCCGGGGAGGGGATAACCCCTATAACGGCCTATACGGGGAGGCCCCGCCCGAAAGGCGTAGCTTTTTTAGGCTTCAGGTGTATGAAAGGGTAGAGATTTTACCCGCTGAAGTATACGAAAGAGAAGGGAAATCTGTCATTTGGGTCTGTGAAAGGGCCCAAAGGCCTGAACAGATGAATTTAATGGCGTCTGAAGTCGGGAAAACGTTCTAGGTTTGTGATCGATTCCTATTTAAATGACAATGCATTTACAGCAGTTAAAAGGATGTAAAGTACTAAACAGAAAGTATAAAAGAGGTACCATTTGTCCATAGAAGGTAAACGAAATTTTACAATAACTGAGCGAATCCTCGTGCGCTGATTGGTCAAGAGCCATGGTCTATGAGAGTTTAGTAAAATCCAACTAGTGGTCTATTATCAATGCTGTGTTCTGATTGGTTGAGCTACTACGAGGCTATATAGGTTATAGCCCACTAGTAGCGAAAAGTGCGCGCTTTTTGGCGGCAAAAAAGGATTAAAGTCTAGCTTTAACTAGCTAAAAATTTTTTTCCCGATATTTTTGACCAACTAGTTGGATTTTACTAAAACAATTATTCCTCTCGCGCTTATGGCCTCTGAGTCAGTAGCCCGTGCTATCGACTCAGAGCCCATTCGGGCTCGAGGGATAGTTGTTAAATAGACCATGGAAATGACGTTAAATGTCACGCAGTGCCGGTTGTTTTGTTTTTGGTTTTTCGTAAAAAAATAAAAAATGTTATTGTAAAAAACAAATCGACCACAATTTTCCATGGGCGAGACTTTTCTAGACCATATATAGAAATGACGCCATAAAATGTTCAAAACTTTGCAGTGAAACCACTCGCCCGCGGATCGTGGTTCTACTTGGGAAATCTGCGACAAAATATTAGCGTCTTGGCCAGCCTGTGTACACCTCCCCCCCCCCCCCCCCCCCCCCCACACCAAGTCCATTTGTCACCTCCTAACAAGCAATTTTAACTAACTTTATTCACACACGGTAAAC